AGGATTCTGACGATGGTGTATAACACACAGAGATATTGGGTGTTCAGACTTTATCCATCGTCCTGGTTTTTAAGATAACAGTGATTGAGGCTAGCTCTTTCTAAGGGACCCAACAGAATAGGTGTTTTCCCTCACCTGAGGACGGAAACAGACCCAGTTTCCGAAATGTCGTGTTTTTCTTAGTTATCTTAAAACCAGGATGATGGATAAAGTCCAAAAACCCAATATCTCTCAATATAAACTATGAGGTTGACTGACTGTGGCATATAGAATACATAATTCTATCAAGAAATAATAAGTTAACATTTGATATAATATCATAGAAAAGAAAACATATTCTGAAAATGATCCCAGAAAACATTTTAGAGAAGGAAGACAATATGATAAACTTCTAAGAAGCAGAAAGAGTTGTGTGATAACAGGCAAGTATGTTCTTGTTTTGAAACTGATTAATTTTTCTCTCACATATTAGATTGCTTTTTATTCAATATGTGAAAATGTTGTCTCTGTGCCTAAGCACCTTGGCACTTAATGGAAAGAGTAGTCAGCTTCATGCTCTGGACATTTTGCCTTTGGGTACACAAAGGTAGGGGTAAGGGAGGTAACTGAATATACTGTTGCGTGTTGCCTATGTAATGCGACATGTAAATTCACTCAGGTCTCGGATTTGGTGAATGCGTTATTTCTTTATTGCTAGTGGGATGGGACTAAGTCCCTTGTACTGAGGCCACTTCTGGCCTATTGTACCAGCCCCAGATGATAGGTGAGGGTGATTGTGGAGCAACTGGTGGAATGAAGATTGGCAGGGGAAACTGAAGTACTTGGAGAAAACCTGCCCCAGCGCCACTTTGTCGACCACAAATCCCACTTGACCAGACCCCGGGATTGAACCCGGGCCGCCACGGTTGGAAGCCAGCGACTAACCGCTTGAGTGGTGAATGCGTTTATTGGCAAATCTCTTCTACACTTACAAGTACAATTATTCACAGTTTCAGTATCACAATTACTGCTTTTGCTATAGTCGAAGCCCAACTGAAAACTGACTACTCTTCTAAGGTCAAATACAAACTGAAACTCGTCTCTTGTTGGAGCTGGAGTTTTATAAATTGCACTTGGACTCAGTAGGGAACACCATGTTGAAGGGTTCATTCCACCTGCTGCTATCGAAATGCTTCTTCAACAATTCGTATTTAACGGTGGAAACTCCACTGTTAGCCGCTGTTGTGGGAATGTTGGTCATTGCCTAGGAAATCAACCCTGATCTCAACCATTCTGGCTTTCCAACAGCATGCCACGATACCGTTTTCTTTACGGACTGTTTCCATTCATTTTCTCTTGTCAGCACAGGGAACACTGGTTTCAGTAGTTAGGTTTTATATATTCCAATAACATGTTCTGAAGAGAAAAAGTATTTTATCACTTGAAATGACTTTGCTAGGTGTTCTAATTAGAAATGATTTTATTAGGCACTAATCCCTCTTAGTTAGATGTGATTACAAGTGGTTGTTTTAAATGAAGGACCACACTGTCTACAGATGCCTGACATTGGATTTTATCTCAGAACAATTCATTCCAGTTCGCCCTTTCACATAATATGTCTGAATTGATCTAGTGGTTCTATTACAAGTATTACAGGTATATGAAGCAAAATCTACCCAAGTTCCTATTTTATTTTCTTATTTAAATTCACTCCCATCAGAGCCACTTCCTTGATTATGTTCTTGTACACAATTGTATAAAATCTATTATGAATGAAATTTCCTTTACAGTCAGAAGGAGTTCATGTTATTAAACAAGCTTTAGCTGTAATTTGAAATATTTGCAACATTTTTCAACTCCTCAATATTGTTCATTTCCTTCATTTCTTCAATATTTGTAGGTTATCAAAGTAACTTATGTTGCTATACTGGGCACAAGTAACAGCCATTACTGCTTGCACTAATGAGTGATTTGTTTTACAGATACCAGCGTGAGTTTGGGTTTACGATACAGGGTCGTGTAATTGTTGTAGATGACATTAGGGTTCGAGGTATAGGAAAATCGTTGGTTCAAACAGACAGTCCAGTTCCTGCTGCAGAAGGACCGCCAAGAGTAGACAAGGCAAGTTTCTGGCAATGCTGTGTTCTCCGATATTCTGAACAACAAAATAAATTATAGAATCACTTACAGACAGTGATTCTGATCTGAATGTAAATAACTCCAGTGATGATGATGATGGTGAGTCAGGAGTTAGTCGCAATAACAGTATTAATAAGAATGCTTAGTTAACATGCAAAAGGCAATGTGTTTACAAACCATATTAAAAAAAATTATTTGTATTATGGCAACAGTGAGAACAAGATGTGTTAAGAATGCAAAATGTTCTTGGCATTCAAATTGATTTATATCCTCTGGTGTTGATATCTTAAGACCACCTCTGTCGTCTAGTGGTCAGAGTTCCTGGCTACAGATCCAGAGGACCAGGGTTCGATTCCTGGCGCTACCAGATTTTCTGAGAAGCAGTGGGTCTGGAATGGGGTCCACTCAGTTTCATGAGGATAATTGAGGAGCTCTTTAAAGGAAATAGCGGCTCCGGTCTAGAAAACCGAAATTAATAGCCATGGGAATTTGTTGTGCTGACCATGTGACGCCCTCTCTCCACAATAGTTGGCACAGTAACTTTCACTGACAAGCAGCGATTGCTCAGTTTGTATAGTTCCCTTGCAGACTACAGGCCACAGAGTTTGTTTTTTTCTTTGGTTTTGATGTCTTATGGAATCTGAATATTCACTTCCATGGCTACAAGAGCTAATTGAATTCAACTGCTGCCTTTGTACTCAAGTTTTTGGAGACCCATTTCAATATTCTCTCATCTAGGCATAGGTTTCCAAAGTAGTCTCATTTCCCATGGGATTTTATGACAGACGTTTTTATGCATATCTCATGTTTGCTACATGTTCCAACCATCTTCTCTTTCTTGATGTAATCCTGCTACCAGTATTGTGCGAACTGTAGAAATTTTACAGCTTCTCAGTTTTTAACAGAAGTAAATACATTTTACCCAACTTTCTGAAATGTGCTGCTTTATTGTAGGAGGTTGACGTGTATTTCGAGAGTGGTTATCATCATGCTTCTGTGTATATTCTGGGTGACCTGCATGCAGGACATGAGATTCCTGGCCCAGCCATTATTATGGACAACCTGAGCACAGTTCTTGTGGAACCTGACTGTACTGCTTTCATTACATCAAGAGGGGATATCAAGATTGTAATTGGTTCAGGTGAACTCAGGAGGATTGGTACAGAGCTGGATGCCATTCACCTCAGTATCTTCTCACATCGTTTCATGAGCATTGCTGAACAGATGGGCAGGTGAGTATGCCCTGCAAAATATGACAAAGGTTATATTTTAGCGTCCTGTTGCACTGATATTCATCCATGATATGTATACAGTGGCCGTCTTGTAGTGCACTCAATTTCACCTGTCACTTCACAACATGTTTCGGCAACATAATGCCATCATCAAGTGTCCCAATTACGTCAATCTATTGCATTGCTTGCCCTCATATGTTTTCACAACACCATTTAAAAAGTATTAAAAAATATTTAAAAAGTCCGTATTTGTCAACTGTGATAAATTTCCACTCCTAAAACTTGTTAAGATAATTCATCTTATTTGTCTTAATTAAAACTTGCATGTGGTTCGTTCACTACGGGGTCACAAGACGCGGTTTACACAGAAAATAAGAAAAATGACCCCGTAGTGAACGAACCACATGGAAGTTTTAATTAAGACAAATAAGATGAATTATCTTAACAAGTTTTAGCAAGTGTAAATTTATCATAGTTGACGAATACGGACTTTTTAAATATTTTTAAATACTTTTTAAATGGTGTTGTGGAAACATATGAGGGCAAGCAGTGCAACAGATTGACGTAATTGGGACAGCTGATGATGGCACTGTGTTGCCGAAACATGTTGTGAAGTGACAGGTGAAATTGAGTGCACTACAAGATGGCCACTGTATACATATCATGTATGACAAAGGTGTTTTTGAATGGTTTTCCTCAGTCCCACAAGGTGACCACTGGGATAGAACCTTAATATAGAGAAAGACCATTTCCTCCATCATTCATCCCTGTATGCACTTATATTCATCCCACTATATCTCAGTCAGTTGATACAGCATTTGAGAATATCCAGATAACTAACCAACGAAGATAAAGAACATAATGTAATTCTGAGAATAAAGATCTTTATTCTTAAACTTTTCTGTCACGTAGAAGTTAACAGATATAATTTAAAATAAATGTGTGGTTCATTCTTTGTCTTTCGCCCATGGCCGATCCTTTTCATTCTCAGGCCCTACTGTATGGCGCCATAAATGCTGACAGTGATTGCTTTGAACTTTAACCAAACTCCAGGAATAACTAGATACATTTCTTATTATTGGAAGACTTAACTGAGGTAATTGGGTATCAGGAAGTGGCTTGCTTACAAATTGAATGTAGGTTGCCTGGGTGAAGGTGTTGATATTTTAATTGAATAACACGAGACGTTTCATGCATTCATGGCCAAAACTCCATCCCAGAGATGAAATCTATTAAATGGTTCACAAATTGTAGTTAATGCACATGTATATATTTCACTAATTGTTTTCAATCACAAACACAGTTAAAGTTCATGGTGTAAATGTACTGTTGACTAATTCTAAGCTCCAAATATATTAATTCAATTTGCCAGATTTATAAACACATACAGGTATATTAAACTTGTTAAAACTCTTGGTTGTGTCTAAGTTTTCAGACTTTATTTTAACTGCTTCAAATTAATGATTTTCAAATTTAGAGAATTGAGATTGCAGAACATGCACAGAACATGTCTGCAGAGGTCCAAGATTTGACATGAAGTGGTTTCATTTGAGATGGCTTTTATTACTCTCTTGTGGTATAACTTCCAAAATTCAAATCTATTAGATCAGAGAAGATTACATACCACTCATTACTGATTGGAAGTTGTACACGAAGTAACTGTGTCATAATTGTTGTAATGTAACTGTGATTGATACACATTCATGACTGAAAAACTATACGTTTTCATTTTGAGTTGAGAGTCATGATAGTTTGTATCCATTCAGTACCCACAAATGTCAAACTAAACACCCAAATATTTAGGAGGCTACTGAAACCCCAAAATGTCCACAAAACGCTGTGTTATGCACATGAGACACTGCAGAACGACATTCTGATGTCTCAAATTAGGGTCAAATAATATTTGAAGGTATAAGCCAAACATATAAATCAGTTATAAAATACATGTAAATAAATATCTAAGAATTGTGCCAAATTAATTGGGAGTGCCTGGAGAAATTAATGTCAGGCCATTGTAGTGATAATGGATATATCCCATATTTATACGGTTTTATGTAGCAGATTTTCATGGAGTACAATTCATAATTTTTGTAGAGTTTTACAACGGACCACAATTTCAACAAATATCAAGGAGCGGTTGGATTTCTCTTGTGCTTTGTTTGGTCCAGATGGAGGCCTTGTGTCTAATGCACCACACATCCCAGTGCATCTGGGTTCTATGCAAGAGGCTGTCCAGTATCAGGTAAGGGATCACACTCAGCAACGTGGTAATTTGTATTTTTGCCATCTAAACTGCCAACATGGATATAAGCTTTGCATTACCCTTAGTGGTATAATTTTTGTGTTGAGTTAAAGCAAGTAATTCAGTTGATTACAGAGGGAGGAGCTGCACAAACTTAAACAAGCAAACACTTGCCTACATGCAGAATGTACGTGCACATGTGACAAGTATGAAATTGGCCGCGCCGTAGCTCAAGCAGTTAGTTGCTGGCTTCCCAGTGTGGTGGCCTGGCTTTGATCCCAGGTCTGGTCAAGTGGGATTTGTGGTGAACAAATTGGCGCTGGGGCGGGTTTTCTCCGAGTACTTTGGTTTCCCCTGCCAATCTTCATTCCACCAAATTCTCCATCATCATAATCACCCAGCGCAGGCTACAATAGGCCAATCAGTGGCCGCCATGCCAAGTGGACCCAGTTGGACTCCACCCCCCACTAAGAGAATTAAAAGTTATGAAATTACTGTTGTTTCCTCTCTCTTATCTCAGAACACAATATACTCATATATTCTGAACAACTGGAGAGAAAATAAATTATGTTGTATCAGTACTGTCAATATGAATTAAAATTGAAAGTTGAAATATTATATTTCAGCATCCTGTTGCATTGAGATATCCATTCCAACAATGACCACTGTTGCATTATTGACGGTGTACTTGAATAATAGGAATTGAAAGTTGAAAGATGGTTTATATTACTTAGCCGTACCACTTCCACGACAAATGACTTCCACATTTTTCAAGCACTGACATTTCAGGTTACAACCGATTACTCCTCCGTGATAGCATATTTTGAAAAATTTGTGTATACAAATTATTGTAATTATTGTATTTTTTGTAAGGTTTAATTTATGTCTGATATAATGTAATGAAATATATTATGTGTCGTATTGTTTGGTAGATGGTACGCTGAGTAGAGGGTTGCACAATATTTTGTGACTTCTTGTGAAGTTTTATAATTCTGGGGTTCCCCTTTGATCAAGTATATTTCTTCATATGGAATGATTTAGAAAAGAATGCATGATGCAAGGCTTAAAACTATTGGCTGGAGCTCATAAATCGGGACTGCTGTTAATTGAGTATGACATGATGCTAGTGGTTGCCTGATGGATTGCGCAAGATTGGATTGAACACGTAATAGAAAGCAATGTAAATAAGTTGGACAGTTTGAATACAGAGGTATGTCAGATTAAAGATATGGTGAAAAAAAACTCTGACTTAGGTTTAAGGCTTTTAGGGGTGCAAGATGAGCTGATCTAGTCCCAGCTACAAAGAGATAAAGATAATGAGAAACAAGACGAGATAATTAATTAGGAAATTAACAAATTAAAGAACAGTACTTTGCAAGGAAATTATGACCGTACATTTTGCTTGCTCCTCAATAATAGTCCTAATGTTAATACAGGTCTGTAACTTCATATTCATGTCAAGAAAATACCTGCAATACATACAGAACTATACATGTTGACACTTTATCACATGAACCTGTTGCCATTAGTGGGTTAAATACTGCCAATATTTCTTTACCCTTATTTGATGGAAATTGTGAAGTAAACCCTGTCTTCCATTTAAAAAGACGAGTTCTTGAAACTCCGAGGTGTACCTCAGATGTATCATCTGACGGTAGCTTGCCAATCTACAGTAGGAAAATTGAGTTGACAATGGCTTGAAGCCATTTCTGACAAACTTACTGACTATGAAGCTTTCAAAATTGCCTTTTTGAATACATAGTGGTGTTCGGCACAACAGTGCTTGGCGAAGTGCAACATTTATCAGATCAAATACGATTGTAGGTCGAATTTGTCTTATTCAGGTCATTTCCTGAAATATGCGACTTTGGCTTCGCATCTAGAACCTAAGCCCTCAGACGCTGAAGTGATTGAAGCAATCAGGTATCACTTCCCTATAAATGTACAATGCATAATGCTGGGAATGCAGCTCCAGTCTGTAGGAGATACGTTAGATCTGCTCAAATGAGAAGAATGAACGGAAGAGCATGCCCCTTATGTCAAAATTATAGTGGTCAACAGAATCAGAGCAGCAGTAACAATCGTTCTGCTCAACCACCACAAACCGAGATCTTGAACAAGGTAAAATGAGGAGAGTGCAGTGTTTACACACCAACAACAGAAATGCTAGCCGACAGGTAAGGTGGAATAATGATGGCTGCTATGATCGTTACAATTCAGGTGACGAAGGACATCCACGGCATTGCAATGACTCCTCACCACATTGTTCTGACAGAGATAGAGGGACATATGGCCCGAATTGGGGTTATGATCACCCCAATCCGGAAAACTAAAGTGTAGGAACATTACGGACCAAATGTCTCCTAATATTGGAAATAATAGTGTTCAAGGTCCTACCCTTCCCAGTGAAATTAGTTCGAGAATTCAGAGTGAAGTGACTGAGCTAGCTAATTTTCAAGAAATAGATGTGATAAAGCCACTTGTATTGTACGTGTATGAAGATAAATTGGTTTGGAGTCCCCAGATAGAAATTACTTTCAGTGATAAACGTAACGCTATAGCCA